CACTGCCCAAAAACAGCAATGGAACTCAGGCAAAATGCTAGGCTCTTCATGAAAAAAGCACGTAGCAATTCTGCTCGCTGTCACTGCCCAGAGGCAATTGAGTGATATCTGAAACCACCAATGTGGAGTCAGTTGACTTGTCTATAAGCTGACGGCGTGCCAAGATTATTTGCCGATTTGATATGATATTAGAGGGGTATAACCAAAAAACATATAAAAAATCTTGTCCTGGACCCTCTCACACCAAGATTTCTGACTTGCACGGTATATATATGTATGTGTGTATATACATATAGTATTAAATAGATGAATAGATTGATATAGATATGTATTTGTTTATTATTCATCTGAAGAGGTTGAGACATTGCGTTAATTGTTATATTTTATTTTGGTTGTTTTCATTTTCATATAGATATGTCTCTTATGAGCCATTCTATGATATCACTTTATATCAAAAACTTGTTCCTCGAAACTTAGGGTGTAATACAGTACTGTTAGATATTACTTGGTATTACATACTGTCAGATATTCCTTGGTATTACCACAATTGATTATTAGGCAGCCTTTGGCATGTGATCTGAATTTAGTAGAAAGACAAACTACAAACACTATCCTTGGCAGACACCCCTTCTCTCCCAACAGTTTCCCTCCCCATTCCTTGCTCCCACCCATGACTACAACTTACTGTGCAGAAAGGGAGCCTCTAATGTAGAGACTAAAAAGAGCTAGGTGATTATTTTTGTCTGTGACTTTATGTATGAACTGTATCATTGTGAATGTGTATATATAGTATGTACCATATGTATGTATGTTTGTATGTATATGATATTCCCTTTATTTTCATAGCAAAAAAGTGATTATGATTATTTGAGTTTCTGCCATTTATTTTATACATCTTTTCTTTTGGGAATGTTAAGTGTTGCTTGGTTGAGGCCAATTGTTAGCTATGTGTTAAAGTTCTCTGAATGAGTATTATCCTTCATGTTACGGTACAAACTCGAAAGAACATCACTTTTTTGCCAGTCAGAGGATTGTTTTTTATTCTTACCTGTAACTGCTTATTTCAGAGAGCTTTGAGTAAAACTGCTAACATTTGGTTCTCTTTTGCCAACAGGTAACAAGAGATTTTCCTCTTTACTGGCTGGATGGTTGTAAGGTGCAATGGCAGTAAAGGTACAGGCAGTCATAGCAGCCTGGAAGAGCTTCGAGTTGCACAGTGTACAGAGGGAACTGGATGAGACAGCCTCAGAGCTTGCTACTCGTCAAGATGAGTCAGAGCACTCCCGAAAGAAGCTGGTAGAACTCTCCAGGGAGTTCAAGAAGAACTCCCCAGAGGATGTACGAAAGCATGTGGCCCCATTGCTGAAGAGCTTTCAAAGTGAAATTGATAACCTCAATAAAAGGAGCAAGTTTGTGGAGACTGCATTTTTGAATGTTTATAAGAAGGTGATCGATATTAGTGATCCACTTCCCACCCTTGAGTACTGTGTTGGCCTTGAGAAAAAGATAGGCCGTCTTGCTGACCTCGAAATTGAAAACAAGAATCTGAGAGAAACTCTGCGTGAATATAATGAAGAGTTCAAAGAAGTGAGAAACCAAGATGTAACCATCAAAGCACTCAAGGAGAAGATAAAGAATTATGAAGATCTTATGGATAACAATGTGCAGACCAAGATTAAGGAGATGGAAAGAGAGCTTTCACGTCAGTATGCTGAGAAGGAGAGGCTGCTAGAGGAGACACAAGAATCTGTAATGAGGAGGCTGCAGGATGCCGAATCAAGAGCCCAGACTCTCCAGTCCACCCTGGACCAGACCCAATCAGAACTGTTTGAGCTGAAGAGCAAGTCTGAAGAGTCAAATTTTGCCCGGTCAGATGAAATTAACATCCTGTTGAATGATCTTGAGCGGGCAAATCAGAGAGCCACCATAGCTGAAAGAGAATCTGCACAGCTCAAGGAACAGCTTCAGAGTTTAACTGCTGCTCATAATTCACTGACAGAAAACATGTCTGTCATGAGTACCTCTGTTAATGAAGTTGAACTGTCTGCAGAGACCTTAGCAAGATCATCTCTTGAGATAGAATTGGCATCTAAGGACAAGGAAATATCCCAATTGGTAGAAGATATCAAACAGCTGCAGAATTCCCTCAATCTTCTTAGGGAAAGTTCCTCTAGCCAAATTCGGGCCCTTGAAGAAAATCAGGAAAGTAATACTCATACCATTGCTACCTTGGAAGCCAAAGTTCAGCAGCAAAGGGATTATGATGAAATCAAAAGGGAACTGAGTATCATGAAGTCTGTTGAATTTAGTTCCATTTCTAAGGATGGCGGAGAAGAGAGCAGTTTTGAAAGCTCCTCTAAACCACTAGAAGTGCTCCTCTTAGAGAAGACAAAGGTTTTGCAGAATGAAAATACTGCACTAAAACAAATGAATAGTAATATGAATAAAAAGACAGTAGAGTACGAACAGGAGCTCACAACACTACGTTCTCTTGCTGCTGAACAAAAGGATTTGATATTACACCTTGAATCTGACCTCTCATCAGTCCAGACCCTTTCCTCTTTGTACCGTGGTGAAGGTGAAGGTTCTTCAGTGCCAGAAATAGTAGCCGAGGCAGTTAGGGCTTCTACAAGTAGCACCCCTCCTCTCGGTACCCCTCAGTCTTCAGTCACTGATACACCAACTCCAGTACAAGGAGGAATCCCACCAGACTTTTCATCAGCAGCAGAATCTATTTTACCAATCATTTCTTCTCAGAGGGAGCGTTTCCGTCAACGTAATGAGGAGTTAGAAGCTGAACTGACTGGAAAAAGTCAGCAAGTAGTACTTCTTCAAAATGAATTGGATAATCTTCGTGCTGATAACCTGAAACTATATGAAAAGATTAGATTTCTCCAGTCTTACCAAGGGCGACAAAGCAGTGAAGATTCTGCAGCAGAATCACGATATAGTAGCCAGTACGAAGAGGCACTAGATCCCTTCTCGTCATTCTCGCGTAAAGAGAAGCTACGCCGGTATTCAGCTCTTAGCCCATTTGAAAAAGTGACCTTGTCAATGGGGAGGTTTATATTAGGCAACAAAACAGCACGGACTGTAACTTTCATGTACACTGCCTTAGTTCACTGTCTGGTATTCCTTGTACTTTACAAATTGGCCCATACAGAGTCATGTAAGCGTGATTTTGCTTCTGACTGTGCTCAGAAATTTGCAGAGCATATGAATCAGGTTCATGGTCATAGTGATTTCCATGACTTTAACCAGTAGATCATAGAGTGATTATATCTATAGCACAAAAGGTACAGTTGGTTGATAAACATAGAAAAGAGATATGGTGTTTTTTTAAGTTTATATTTAATAGTGCATAAATGAGTATAGCTTTTATCTCCTGTGATGGCTAAATTTCTAAAGATTGAATAAACATTCCTATATTCTTGCCTGACCATATTAATATGGAAAATTCAGTTGTAAGATAATACATGCTAAGAAAATATAATCTGAACAGATGACTATGGTTAAATTTTTATGATAAACAGTATGTGTGCCTAGTGTAATGTGATAATTAGAGGTGTGATAGTATTTATTCCGAGATACTGATTATAGAGAAAGTACAGGTTGCTTTCAGATTACCAGAAATGACAACAGGAGTTCTTACTTTTTTACAAAGTAATTTGTTTTTATAGAGTTGTGTTCTAAGCATTATAGACTAGCCAAACAGGTTGCACATAGGTGGTAGCTTGACTTAGTTTTTTCTTTTAGTGGTTCTGAAAAAGAAGGAATCTGGTGATGGATAAGTGTTGAGTTTTTCGGGTGATACACTATGTAGCTTGCTTGAAGCTGGGCAATGCATCTTTGTCAATAAGGCATAGAATTTTGCCTATTTGAGAATATTTATTGACTTTATAAGCTACAAACTACACACAAAGGTTTCATGTGAAATGTTACATATGGTGTTTTATGCCTGTTTGAAAGATCTGACTGTGGAGAATGACAAGTTTGGAAGTTAAGTAAGTATGAGTTGTGATCATTTAGGGATACGTGCAAATATCAACATTACATTTTGAAACCATAGAGAGCAAAACAAAGGAAGTTATGCCATATATGCATATGTATATATATATATATACTATATATATATATATATATATATATATATATATATATATATATATATATATATATATATATATATATATATATATATATATATATATAAATAATATATGTATGTATGTATGTATACACAGATTTTCTTTTGTAAGAAAGATTGATATGGAATGTCTGTTGGTGATACAAACTGAATTGTTGGATTATTCAATTGATTATCTTTGAGACTTAATGCATTTAGCCTTTTTTCACATGTTTATATAGGGCATTCATTAATAGATATATCCGTACACAAGGAAAATAACCCATTTGTATTAATTTTTGTGTTTTATTTAATTTTCTGTTGATTTACTAGCATACCAGTCCAATCAATAGTTTCACTTATTGTCAAACGGCATACCAGTTCTGGCTAGAGATTCATTCCCCCAAAATTTTACTCTGAACAAATGTTTTTTTGATTGTAGACATTTGATTTTGTTGCCTCTTTCTCATTCTTTTTATATACTTTTTTTTTCTTTCTTTTTTTTCTTTTTTTCTTTTCTTTCTTTTTTTTTCTTTCTTTTTTTAGCTAGGTTCATTGCTGAAGGTTGTTGTTTTCATGTTATATATATATATTTATACATATATATTTGTTATTATTTACTATACAAAACTTAAAAATAAAAATTGATAAATAAAGACGTGTTTCATTTGAGATGGTTAACAAAGGATAAGAATAATAATAATCACCAAGCATATGCATTGAATGTTCAGGTCAGGTTGATATACATAAAAGCTTCATGAAAAATATCAAAACTGCCCATAGGCATATTTACACACTAAATATCCAAATACTGTCTTTCCTTGAAAATAAAGATAAAAGGCCAATACCTAACTGATCAGTTTTGCAATGAGTAACATGTCAGGAAACCATTCTTGCAGAAAATGTGACACATCAGTTAATCGTATATTTGATTTGAGTCTGATCGCATTTCGTCTCCACACTTGTAGTCTTATTTTGAAGGAAAGTTTTGTTGGTCAAAAATTTAACTTCTGTGTTAGACGTAAACTTATTCTAAACTTCATGACCACAGAACTCCCATTGTGGTTTATGTACTAAATTCAAATAGGAGAAAAGAATGGACCTTCTATAATGCAAAAGTTTAGATTGATATAAGATGTTGATTGTCTTTGACAAGATGCAATCTGCAAAATTAATAACACAAATAGCTTCTGTTCAGGTTCACCAGAATCCGACATCCTTCTGCCAACCCAATTCCAGGAACGGAGGCCAACAGTTATGCACTCATAATAACGGTGTGCCAGTGTTGAATTGAGAGGGGCAGTCCTTCCAAACCGTTAGTCCATTCCAGTGTGAGTATGCATTCTTTTCATGTCTCTTTAGTGTCCCACGTGCTCTAGATTTGTGTGGTTACAATATATTCTAACGAATGAAGTGGAAAATCACGTGATGATGTGTTGATCTTCGCCCATTTCTTAATACTTGTCTTTGTTACATACATGGGATTCCTGTATCTCCACAAGGATGGACTCTAAAGACTTAGGGTAAACTAGGAGGATTTCTTCATTTTTTTTTTCTTTTATGCATCACAGTTTAGTTGGCATGAGTATGAGAGGAGAATCCTTATTTTATGGTTCATTTTCATTATTTTGTATTCATTATTATCATTTTTCAAAAATACATAATGGATACTAGCATACAGTGGCAGACACACACACTAGATAGTAACAAGTGCATGGATTAATTTTAAGATGCATTTAGCATTTTTTTTTTATTTGATATGTAATTCACAGAGCTTATTTGGCAAGTACTGTTAATAATTACTCATTTTAGATGATTTGTATATTAAATATTTTATTAAATTTGGCTTTTTGTCAACAGTTTGTATACTTCTCCTTTAATACTTTCAACTTTATTTCTCTCTCTTTTCTTTTTTATTTGTCTTGTTAGTTCCATTCCTTCTTCCAACTTTATACTTCTCTCTCTCTCTCTCTCTCTCTCTCTCTCTCTCTCTCTCTCTCTCTCTCTCTCTCTCTCTCTCTCTCTCTCTCTCTCTCTCTCTCTCTCTCTCTTTCTCTTCTCTCTCTCTCTCTCTCTCTCTCTCTCTCTCTCTCTCTCTCTCTCTCAGCTCTCTCTCTCTCTCTCTCTCTCTCTCTCTCTCTTTCTCTCTCTCTCTCTCTCTCTCTCTCTCTCTCTCTCTCTCTCTCTCTCTCTCTCTCTCTCTCTCTCTCTTCTCTCTCTCTCTCTCTCTCACATTCTCCCATTCTCTCTCTCTCTCTCTTCTCTCTCTCTCTCTCTCTCTCTCTCTCTCTCTCTCTCTCTCTCTCTCTCTCTCTCTCTCTCTCTCTCTCTCTCTCTCTCTCTCTCTCTCTCTCTCTCTCTCTCTTCTCTCTCTCTCTCTCTCTCTCTCTCTCTCTCTCTCTCTCTCTCTCTCTCTCTCTCTCTCTCTCTCTCTCTCTCCTCTCTCTCTCTCTCTCTCTCTCTCTCTCTCTCTCTCTCTCTCTCTCTCTCTCTCTCTCTCTCTCTCTCTCTCTCTCTCTCTCTCTCATTCTCTGTCTGTCTGTCTGTCAGTCTCTCTCTCAGTATATATTTTAGTCAGTGATGTGCACAGCCTTTCAGAAGGGTGTGGCCTCAGTTTTAAAAGAGGACAAACGTCAGACTAAGGTTGCTCTTTCTTGGATTTTGAATGGCAGGACACTTTTCATTCAGGGAAAAAAAGCAGGGGCTCAAGCACATCACCGATTTTAATTTCATTTCACATGTGGCCAGCAAGGACAAGAAGTAACAGGTTCATTATTGTAGCCCAGTTTACTCTACCCTAAAGCCATAATTAACAAAAACCTTTTGACTAATCCTGGTATTCCTTATCAGATATTTTGTACTAGTAATTAGTCTGTCGTAACTTTGTTTTATTGCCTTGTGCATGTACTGTCTTTAGTTACATTTTGACTGACCTTGATTTACTCAGATAGGGTCTTTATCAGATATTTGTTATATGAAATTTGTAGTGCCTGTTGCCTTTTCAATTTCATAGAATTGTGGCTTTGTAAATGACAGCTATTTGTAATTTCATATATTGCTTTTGTATAGATGTTTCTAAAAAAAAATAGAGTGCAGTTGAATTCAAGTAGAAATTATATGAAATGTTTGTAAAGAAAATCATTTCCAACTAATATGTGATGAAATTGCCTTTTTAGTTGTAGAACTGTAGACCCTTTGTTATGAAAGCTAGCTTGTTGTGAATGCTTAGGTACTCAAGTTGCTTGTACTTGCTGTTTTTGCTGAAAGCATATGTGATCATAAAGTCTCAGACTTTTTCAGACCAAATTAATGATGCATGTTCTCATCATTTTCTTCTCCTTTCTTTCTAGATTGAAATATTAGAGTAGGACATGTCTGACCAGCCACCCACACTCAGTAATTACTTCGACCAGAGTTCCAGTAGCATCTTTGACCAGCTCTCAGGAACCCCTCAGAATGCCCAGCCAACACTCACAAGCCATCAGGTGGGCGGAGTAGCACCTGCACTTCCAGCGACCAGTGAACAGATCAGCACTCCATATATAACCCCCATAGCCAATCAGCAACTGACTTACCCTCCAGAGGCTAATTCATTCTCAAGTCCTGGGGCCAATATAACAACCTCTGGGAATGCATCTCCAAGCCAAGGGGACGTGCCATTAGGATCACCGTACCAACCACCTGTTTGTGTGACTCCTGAACCTCAGTTAGGGGGTCCTGGAACACCTCAGCCTAACTCTACTAATCTTCATACACCACATGTATCTCATGAGAGCTTTTCCTCACCTGCACATCATAACATTCCACTAACACCACAGAACCAAGAGGCTGTTGCTTCTACCACTAATTTACCTGCAAATAATCTACCTGTGCCAACCCCGTCTACCCCTTCTCAGTCTGCCATGATGATGAGCATGACCACTTCAATGCTTGTTACTGACACATCTCCTAATGCCAGCATGGATGTAGAGGCAACCACAGTAAAGTTTCAGCAAGCAAGTATTGAAGAAGAAGCAGAGCCTTCCTCTCCTTCACAAACCACATTGATCCATGCTGGTAATGTTGCTATGGGAATAGTAGCAATATCAGCTCCTCCAAACAACTTGCAGGCATCAACAGGCAGCAAGCCAACAAGCCCAAAACCATCCATGAAGTTAACTGCAGCATCTGAATCAGCAGGTGATAAAAGCCGACAGAATGAGTCTAAGCTATTTAAATACTTCAGTAACACTAAAACCTCAAATCCATTTGATAGTATTGGTAGTCAGACTCCAGGAAATACCAGCGATTCTGCAATGATAAATCCCGTTTATATGTCCCCAACTGATAGCTTTAATATC